AAAATTACTTACAGTTCAAAATTTATCACTTTTTGGACATTGATCATCTAGCACATGCTTTGACTCGGATCAGCTGTTATTTCATTGCTGCTTTTCTTTTTGCCACTGTTGCAGCTGGCATTTTTTCGTTTTCTACTATGGACTTAACACTTAAATATGTAAAATTTAGGAGGGGAACCTAGAGCTAATTCGAATACCCAAGCACATTGATTCAGGGATAAATAAATGTACTATAGCTGCTCAGTTACTTCATGACGGGTCAAAGCAGATGGAAAAATCGCTAGCTTGAGAAACAAGATATGAACAACAGCTGATCTGAAGATATAAATCTAAATTTGCAAATTATGGTTTTTTCCAGAAAGCGGAAAAACGGCAAAAGCACTTGATGCTTCCATCAAAGCCAAACAGTGGGACAAAGCAGCGCAAATTGTTGATGGACTCGAGGACAGCAGCCTGGCAAAGCAGTATTATGGAAAAATTGCTGACCATTACGCAACTGTCGGCGATCTAGAAGTGAGCTCTGCTTTGTCAGAAGACCGGACAAAATTGGTTATTTGTGTGCGAATTTTGCTGTAAATCCTTGTAAAGCGAGGTGTGGAAAAAAAGAAATTTTCGGATTTTTCAATGAATGCTACTGTGAACGTAACATTCTGCATGATCGTTTCGAATTCATTAAGTTCCTCAAAGCAGCGCCAGGCAAAAACGAAAAATTTTTTATTTCTTTGCGGATGAAATTTTGCTTTTTTTGAAGAAAGTAACAGTATTCTAACAGCTCCATTTATCTATTTGTCCGGTCAGAAATCAAAATCTATTCCATCTCCCCAGAAGAGACGGAGGTACTTGACAGTAATCGAGTGGAGGTAAGCGCCAACAATATTGCCTTCAGGACTAGACTGCTGCCTTTTTCGAAACTGCTTGCAAGCAATCTGGCCGCTGGTTCGGCTGAAAATTGGTTTAAAACTTGTTTTGGTTTGGTATCGGGTCAGAACATAACTTGGAAATGATCGTGATTGTCAGTGCACAGAATTAAAGGGAATTACAAAGCAGTTAGATTCATAATCCTCAATAAACGGATTCGGTCCAAAATGTTTCAGCATCGAAGCGGTAGTTTACTCTAATCAGCACAACTAACTCTACAACTGATTTCAAAGCATATGTTATGCATAAAGATCTTTGCAGTCAGACCTAAACTTTACATATTTGCTTTGGGATAAAGCCTACTAAAATCCTACTTTCACTGCAGTGCACCTCTGAGTCATGATTTATGATTTCAGCGAGCGGAAATGCTGTATATTGAAGCAAACATGCGAAAAGAAGCCATCGAAATGTATAATAAAGCTAATCGTTGGACCGACTCATATCGAGTAAGTGTCCCATCAGATCATGAGTTTTTAATTCGAATATCGATCCTAACATTAAAAAATTATTTTCCATCAGTTTCCCTACAGATTAAGGGCAGAAATCATGACTGGGTGTGTGTATGCTTGTATGTGGATGAGTGCGTGCGCGCAAATACGTACATGCGGATAAGTGCATGTGAGTATGTGTGTGTGTGTGTGTGAGTGCGAGAGTTTTTGTATATGTGCTATCACTACTAAAGTATTTGTGAAAACCTGACATTTTATTCCTTATTTGACCATGACCAAATACTCTTAGTACACATTTTGCTGATATCACAAA